GGCTTGGAGCAACCTGTGCTGGTGGGAGGTGTCCCTGCCGATGGCAGGGTTGGATCTGGATGAGTTTAAGGTCCCACACTAAAGACATCGGAATGTGCTGCCAAGGAGGTGGTGGAGTCACCATCCCTGGAGGTGTTTAAGGAGAGGCTGGACTAGTTGACATGGTGGTATTAGGTCACAGGTTGGACTTAATGATCTGAGAGTTCTGTTCCAACCTGATTGATTCTGTCCCTACCCAGACCATTCAGTCATTCCATGACTGCTCACCTCACCCCATTCCCAGCTCCAAGGAGCCCCTCAACCCTCCCATGTGCTCCTGGCCTTACTTTCCCCTCCCACCCCCGCCCTGGGGTGTTTTGAGGGCTGCAGGGGCTGCTGGTTTGTTCCCACCTGTATGTTGCCCATGACCCCAGTGGACTCCATCCTGCTGGCCACGTTCACCGTGTTGCCCCAGATATCGTAGTGTGGCTTGCGGGCACCGATGACACCGGCCAGCACGGCCCCCTTGTTCATGCCTGTGGCAAGACAGGGAGAAGATGTCATCTGGTGACATGGACAGGACATCCAGGTCTGCAGGAGTGTCCTAGGAGTGGGGTTGGGGCGATGAGGTCCCACCAAGCCCTACTGCCTAGTGAGGAAGGAGGAACAAGAGATACTCCAGGACTTGCCTATGCGGAGCATGAAGTTATTGAAGGACTGGTAGTTGATGTTCATCAACGTCACCTTCATGGCCAAGGCGAAGTCAGCCAAGTCGGCCAAGTGCTGCCATCGCTCCTTGTCCGACAGCAGCTCCTTCTGCAAGGGCAGCATTGGGATCAGGCCTGCCCACTTCTTCCCACTGTCCCCCCAGCATGGTGACTCCTCACCTTTGCGCTGAAGCCATTGCCGTTGGCGTCAGGAGTCACTCCAGATGCAGCCATGTAGGTGCTGCCAATGGTTTTGATCTTGGTGATGCACCGGAACTGAGGTTCATCCAGGAGCTGAGCCATGGAGACAAGACCCTCAGGGCCATGGGAAGGCCTTCTGCCCCCAGATGAGGCAGGAAGGGAAGGTCTGGCCAAGCCCCACACCATCCCCATGGTTGGCTCCATCCCGACTCACTGCATCAAAGTCGGAGATGATCTCGTTGAGGAACCTCAGGCACTCGATGCCTCCGTTGTTGATGCTCTCCTCTGTGTAGAAGTCAGCAAAGTTGGGGAGGGAAGCGAACATGACTCCAATCTCATCATAGGATTGGCTGTACAGCTCCTGGGAAGGGGAAGGGGATGGTAGCCATGAGCTGGGAATGTGCCCACGCATCACACCAGCACCTCCAAATGCTCCTATGAAGCCATTTCCCTTGGCATGTGTGATCAGTGAGGGTGGAGAACCTCACCCTGCACGGCCAAGGCATCATCACCACAGCAAAGATGCTCACCTAGACCTTACAGCAAAGCCTCTGGCTCTGAAGCCCCCAAAATGGGGACAAATAGCTCCTCCTGGGTTCTCCCCCAAAAAATGGGGGGCAAATACCCCTTCCTGGGTTCTCCTCACCTCATCCCTCTTCTTGGAGCCCAGGAAGTGCCTGGCCACGTGCTCCGGCAGCATGTTGGTGACCAGGGCCTCATTCCAGCGTCGCATCTCGTACACTCGCTCCTTCTGGTCATGGACATCAATCTTCCAGAGGAACAGGGTCCTGGCCAGCTTCTCCACCTGTGGATGTTCCCATCCCACCAATCGCTCCCCTCCAGCACTGGGAGCATGTACTGGGCTTAGGGACAGCATGGAAGAAAGCTCTGGGGCAAGCCCTAATTGGGGATGAGACCTGCTCCAAGGTGCAAGCAGGACCCTCATGAGGCAGAGTGGCCTTAGGGCCACCACGTTGCTGCCCAACCCTAGCCATGGGGGTGGGATGGAGGTGTTCTCTGCACTGGTGGGTCCTGGAGATCCCTTGGCAGACTTTCTCAAGGGGAGAAGAGCCAGAGATGCTATTGGGAAGGGAAAGGAAGAGGGAGGGAAGGGGATGGGAAGAGGGAGGGAAGAGAGAGAGGAGGATGGGAAGGGAGATGGGAAGGGAAAGGAGAGGGGGAGAGAAAGAGAGGGAGAAGGAGAGGAGGGGAAGTATGGAAGGGGAAGGGAAGAGAGCGGGAGGAGGGAGGTGGGAAAGGAGAGAGAGGGAAGAGGGAGAGGGAGAAGGAGGGAAGGGAGAGCGAGAGGGAGAAGGAGGAGTGACGTGGGAAGAGAAAGGAGAGACAGGGGAGAGGGAGAGGAAGAAGGAAAGGGAGAGGGAAGGGATGTTATCTTCCCAGGGTGGAGGACAAGTCACTCACGTGCCGAGAGAAGTAGTAGAAGCTGAGCATGACAATGAAGATCATGGCCGTCATGGAGTACTTGGAGGGCACCAGCAAGGACCTGCCAGCAGAGGCC